AGGTGTAAATGAGACCTGGTCATCAGGTTATCTTGTCTAAGACATTCATCTCACGGCGAGCTTTGATTGTGTAACCGATGTCTAATTGTAGGTATTTGTTTTATACGTCCATATTTCGCGAAATATTTCCTTTGTACATAATTAGTCAAAAAAAACTTAACGTCTCCCGAAACCAGGTGTCGAATCTCCAAATTGAGGCTTCATGGCGGTTGTATTTAAATAATCATAAAGAGGACGATTATTCGTCATCTCGTCATATTTCATCACACTTGATAAAGTATAAAATCTAGGTAAGTAAATCGAAATGAAATTTAAAAGAAATAATCGTAATACAATTTACCAATTAGCACGCCATCTAGTGTGTTTTATGAGCGAAAGCAAACTGCACTCTACATCTCTGCACAAAGCTTTTTGCAAAGAAGTGCAAGTGACATTGACGTTACATGAGATTCTTTTTGTTTTCAGCTTTCTTTTGTTTCAACTCCAGTGCCTTTAAATACTCGAATGACATTATGAATACGTCAAACGGTACGGTAATATTTGGTTCACAAACACAGCTAATTGACTAGTTGGGTACCTATAATTTTTTTTTACTCAAATAATTATCTTAGATGTTTAACGTGCGATATAGTTGGGTATTTCAGCAGACAGAATATACAGGTACAAAGAAATGTCCCTAATCAAAAGCCTACTACTTTTCAAAGGCCTTACTTAAAAACTTATCAGAAATTGCAAAGAAGTACTACTTAATGCCATTCGATTACTTTTTGTCATCGATACTGTTTCCTTGAAACCTCAAAAACTCCAACAAAAGATTCTTTGTTACATCGAATCACGTCAAAAAAGTCTTTCTTGAAAAAAGTTCTCATAATAGAGATTTAAGTTTTTTCGGCGCACGATCCAGGTCATTATAGTTAGGTTTTAAGTTTGTGATGGGAACAAGGTGAAAATTTCACTCAAACTTAATTCGTTTTGTCTCTCAATGCCACAAAAGCTACTAAAATGCGAGACAATGGCGAAACAGCGCTGTGTCTATGCTAATTGCTGGCAGTAGGTATAAGTTTTAACAATCGCATTATAATGAGTATAAGTTATCCTAGAGTAACCTTCTGAGTTTCATAAACAATTGTCGTTATCTAACCATCGAGGTCTGAAATACATTGACCATAGACGAAGCGTGAAAAGGTTAACTAAATAACCAATTGTAACTTTATAATTATTATTAGTATTCAAATATCTAAACTTTCTCCGTCAACGTGTCCAAGTGCAGCAGCTTAACCTGACAAATAATTCAAATTAATCAGATCTGCATCTAATAATGTGTTTAACAATTAGATTTCATATTTTTTTTTTAATTAATATACCGTCGTCAGATGTTATCTAACGCGTGACCATCGAAATATTAATTTAAGAATTAATTACAAAATAAAATACGTTTGCGCCTTGTTAATCTGCTTATATTATCGTGTTTTTAAACGGTGCGGTATCGTTCTATAAATATGAGTGATACGATGTGTTTTTTAAATAATCTTGTTGTCTGGGCAACATGTAGGTTGCGAATGCCTCAAAACATTGCCCAAATAATAGGTAGCTCCGCGAAGTGTTCGCTACGTGTTGGGCGCACGCGCAGGCGCGAGGCACACGTTCGTATCATTCGCTGCGCCTGCGCTCTACGTGTCGACCTCCCTTGGCGGCCACAACGTAATGCTTTTATGTATGTATTTATTTAATTTATTCTCCAGCTTGTATGTGTGTGTATGTACTCACATTTGTATAATTTAATATACGACTGTTCTTAATAAATAAACTCAACACACTTCGTTTTTTTATTATTATTTATCCATGCCCAAACTTGGCCATAGGCACACTTAACCATGGATTGGTTTTAAAAAATAAACATAAAACCAAATTAAACACGAAACTGCAATCGTTGTGTGCGTTGTAATTGTTTACGCTAAAATGCCTAATTACAGAGGTACAATAAGAAGGCCACGATTTGTTTCATTGTTTTATACAACCTATACGTAGATACATACCAAATAGATAACGAATAGCATTGGTTTGTTCTCTGTGAAAAAGAGCCTCTACACAAGGTCGGTGCTAGGATTCACTACGATAGCTGGTAATCACCACTAATTCGTTGTATTTTTCATATATTTCCTAATACATGGCATTACAAATGTATTTTAAATTCGTAAAATATAAAATACAAACTAAGGAACCTAACTTGAAGACTACACGTCCACAACTATCAATAGTATTTCAAGTACATTATAGGTACGTTAGCCTGTAATTTGACTAGCCACAAATAATTTGCACGCTTTGTTACACAAAATTGTAAAAATACAATTATTGTTATTATATTGCTACTTCATAAGTCTGCCATTACAAACGCAAATGATAAAAGCTCGACTCTAATTTAGCATTAAGAAACGAAGGTCGTCACACATCCATATTTATTTATTAGGTAACTTAGTACGTGGGCCGCCCCAGACCTCACGTAACACGCCCATTGAGCCGTTTTCGCGACCCAAAAAAAAGTTGCAAACTTCAAAATTGACAGCGCGCGAAAATGCAAACTAATGCACAATATGGCGCCGATGAGCAGGCGCTGTTGCGCAAATGTGTGAGTGTAAAGAGTTTTGCTCGGTGTATTATTTATTGATTGTTGAAAAACAATGGCGGGCGCTTGCTGGCAGTGAGTCAGTAGGTCAAGGGTGCGCTGGCCTAGTTACGCAGTGCCGCGCGCCGAAATTCGCGGGCTTACCAGTTGCTAACCTCACTCGGTAGGGAGGGGCTAACTTATGCCTAACGTGGTTAACGCGCGCTCACTTTTATTTGTGAACATATTTCATAAAACCAAACGATGAGCATTGTTTATTTGATAGATAGAATTAGTATTAGATACCTTACTAACTATTGTGTCTAGTTTGAATACCACATAATAAATCATAATTGAATCGTCGCTAATGAAAGATTCATATTATTACCTACATATTGAAATATATGTTCTTGATGATATTATAATTAATTAATTATGTTTTGGTCAGATCAGTTCCTGTAGTATAAACTTTATCAATAGTATCTCTAAGTATCAACAAGTACCTATAGGTATGCGCGCTATCAAGACAAGACAGATTTAATATCTGTCATCATTATAGACGACTCTTTCGACCTTCACAATATTCAGATGATTATAAACGTTACGCATTTTATTTATATTTAAGTATTTAGAGCGAGCTACATCACTAGCAGGCCGGATCTGGACCACGCGACACGCCAACCGCTTCTCCTTACATAAACCCAAGTTTAAGGTCGCCTAGATGTTGCCTCTTTGGACAAGTCAAGTGCTCTGAATGCCAGTCACCCACATCACTAGTTATGACAACATACCACCCGCGGCTACGCCAGTAGACCGAACTTGTACATTCCAAATTAAGCGCTAGGTAGATCACTATTTGTAGTATATTGATAAATTAATTTCACACTTCACATCCTTGACTGCCGAGGTCGTGAAAGTAAATTATTAATGAAGTAACAACCCTGATGGTTACTCGAATTTATGACACGCGGTTACAGTACACATTTAAAATTTGGCTTCCACAAGGGAACTGTTTCAGCGCCATCTACCGGTGAGTAGAATAACTTTCAACAATGTCATCTCCTTGGCTACAAAGCATTGATAAAACAGTATTGCTGTAGTTACGTTTAATGATAAAATTACAACACTTTTCATAATAGAGTTCTAAGATAATGGATGATCCAGATAAAGGAATACCAGTGTTATGTCTAGGACCAAAAGGTTCCGGAAAAACCACATTGTTGAAGAAACTGCAAAATGCTGAAGGTATAGATAACACGTACAGTCCTGTACCTACGATAGGAACTAATATTTACGATGTATATTACATCAACAAACACGGGAAGAAACAAATGCTTTCCATTAGAGAAGTGGGCGGTGAGATGGCGCCACTATGGAACAATTATTTAGACGGAGTCGAAAAGGTAAGTTACGTTGGCCCCCTACATTCGGATAATTTCAGTGGAGGTAATTCAAATGTTTTAGGAACCTACGAGGTTTATTATATAATTGAATAAATGATTGTTTCAGATAATTTACGTAGTCGATACATCAAATCTATGTCAAATATCAGCGGCCGCTGTGTTGCTTTATACTTTGTTAGCTGAACCAAGACTCAAAAACGCTAAAGTAAGTAGGTAACTGCTTTGTTTTTTTCAGTAGTTATGTGACAATCTACAAGCTATGAATGAAACTGCTCTAACAGTTGTTTATCTAAAGGAAACAATAATAATGAATTTCATAACTCTTTATAATTAAACTCTATACCACTAGAATTTCACAGAACATCGTTATTCTAAATATGTTTTTATGTTATAGGATAACTTATAAAATGCTTTTTTCAATAGCTACTTCGTTTTCTTTGCAGTTCATCCTAGTCCTAAGCAAAATGGACGCAGCCTACAGACAGATGCGCAATGAGGCGCTGCTGATGCTGCAATATGCCAGGCTCAGCACAGAGCTGTCTAACGCACCCACGCTGCTCGAGGCATCACCTCTCACAGGCGAAGGCATCGATCAATTAAAGGCTACCATCTGCGACATCAAGATTGTTAATACATTTTAGTTTTAAAATTTAAATAAAACCATGAAAGATTAGAAGCTTTTATTATTTCAATAACTTGTTCTACTTTATATATATATTTACAAAATGGGTAGGTACTAGGTAGTACGGTACAGTGCCTGGCTGTGAAAAGTCCAGGTAACTATGTACCATCATATAAGAAGATGAGGGCGCCCGTTTAATTGCAACAATAACAACTCTTGGCATTTTTCTTACAAAATCCAATGCATTTATTGTTATCTCTCTCACTACGACGATCAAAACGTATGTTTGACTTAAAAAGTTGTAAAACGGAACGTAGGTGAATTTTGACAGTGACATTTAGATTTATTTATTTACTTTTCAGAATCCGGGCTATTGCATTATAGAAAGATACCTATAAAATGGGCTAATTGAAATGAAAAGTAAACAAAATGGATACATCGAACTTGTGTAGAAGTTGTATGAAAGAAGTGGCGACATGGGAAAAAGAGAACTTTGATCCTAGAGTTGTGGAGATGTTTTGTTTTTGTACTAATATCGCGGTAAGTACTAGCAAGGCGAATAGCAATTTGTATACATTTAGGAACCAGTTGTTACTTAATAAAATAATAATATTCTACTATATTTTGTAAGAAGTTCGAAAAGTGATCACTCTTACCTATTTACTGGGTACTTATATACTATTAGACATAATAATAACATTTGAATTAAAATAATATAGGCTATTTATTTAAGCAAAAAAGAAATATCATTATTTATTTACCTTATTTAATTACCTTAGCACTACATGCCATATAATACACAAGTTATACATATAAAACACAGTTGTTCTCAGCTTATAGGAACTACAGAACTCAATGATAAATATATTCAAAGAGTTATACATCAATTTTAGGACCAGTTTATGTACCAAAATAACCAAGTTATTGTACTGAATGCTTCCAGATATCAGAAGATGACAAATTGCCCAAACAATTTTGCTATGACTGTGCAATTAAGATTGAATCAGCATTTACCTATATTACGGAAGCTCATAAAGTAGATGCCACTTTGAAAAACATCATTTCAAGGACAAACACTTCCATCATTGTAGAACCAGAGACCCAATCCAGGCACATAGAGAACCTCAAACTAACCTTACCAGATTATAAAATAAGTGCAACTATTGACAATTACGATGAACATATACTTTTTGATGGCATTGATTTACCGGCCAGTGAGAGCCAAATCATTCCAGAGAAAACTTTAGAAGAGATAGAACCAGTTCAAAATATTTCTGATGAAGTGGAAAATGCAGAAGGTAGTGAAGAATGTGTGAAAGAGAAGGTGAATGTGGAAGAAACTAAGAAGAGTATTTGTCCCATCTGTAGGAAAGCTTTCACTTCAAAAACTTGGTTCAACAAGCATATGAAGAAGGAGCACACTGAACATAAATATGTTTGTGCTCATTGTCCTAAAAGTAAGAGAGTTTAAGTACTTTAGAAAAGTAAAAAGCTATTATTGCATTTACTATTTTTTGCATATAAACTATTATTTAGCCGGGGTTGCTGTGGGTTACCAATTAAAAACCACTACTTACCACTTAAAATTACGAGTTACCCTGTGAATTAACTGAGAAAAGTTTGACTAGCTTTAAAACACTATGGGACTCTTGTTCATGACCAGCATGAGAAAGTCGGGCGACGCCGCGCAGCCTTCTTGAAGCTAGTGGGGTTTTCTCTATTAATTCACTTGATTTGTAAATAAATTAATCTATTACCTATCCACTATTTAATTTTTGCTTTTCTTGGAAAACATTATCAGTTACTTCTTTCCAAAACTCAGGTTCCAAAAATTAGATAACAATCTGGAGCTGTTGAAAGTTTATTCTAAGTTTTTTATATAAATTTTTGCTATAATTACTGGTTCAAATCTTCTATTTTTTTGTAATAGATTGTTCCAAGTTGGTTGTAGGTTGAATTCGATTTTAGACGTAATCTAAACCAAAATTCCAGCTTTCTCCAAAGCCTCCCTTTTATCCGACCACGCGGCAACACACTCGGACGAGCGCAAGTTCGCTTGCTCGACGTGCGGCAAACGCTTCAAGAGACGCAAACAGCTTGCGTGCCATGCGCGTGCGCACGCCGATGTGAGACCATACGCCTGTGACAAGTGCAGTATGAGGTACACATTTATTTTATGATCCTACATAATATTCTATTCGTTAAGACTTTTTTTCTTGTAATCGTAATGCTAGGCATTATTAAAAAGCAGTGAAAAATCATAATGTCACCAACATATTTTTACAAATATATCTATAGGAACTACAATTAATTTACTTTCATAGAATACCTACTCCTCGGTGTAATATTGTTTCTAACATTCTCGACTTATTTAAACATATCAGCAATCTCTATCTTTGGTATACCGTACAAAGTTTCTAGATAATATCGCGGAACATCTGTGTACAAAGTCCTTACTCTTGAGTCTTGAGTCTCGATAGTTCACTTGTGGCGCTAGTGTTGACCTAGCTCTTATCTCTCGACTCAAGTCTCGTAGCAATTGGGCAACAAAGGTCACGCGACCTTGAACTCAAGGTACGAAAAACCTGTAAAATTACCTTGTAACACGACTAGAAACTGCATTTTAAATCTTAAGGAAGTAAGTTTGCTTGCATATTATAATTGGGTATTTAATCTTTATTTTTAATTAAATACCTATATTTTTTAGCTGTAGCGTCAAGTCCCTTTACCCTAAGTCTAAGTACTATAACATTTATTACTTCCAATCAACATGTTAAATTAATATAACTTATTCTTTTATAGTTGTATTAACGTAGGTATTTTAAATTATTGTTTCGAAAGATATTGAAACCTAAAAACTACAATTTCGACCAAGGAACCATGCGATCGTAAAATGTATTTTTACGATAAGAATGACCTTGATACATCCAAGCTAGAAAGGGCCTTGACCTTGGAATAACTAGTTAAATTGACCTTGACCTAGTTACCCACATTTTGGGGCAACCTTGACCGACATGACATAACGAGGCCGCCATTATATCACCGAAACCATGGCCACGAGCGTTTAGGAACGAATATTTTGCTTTAAACATTACACATGTAGGATGAGGCCACTAATGATAGATATTTGCTGGTTTATGGCTTCCTTTAAGTGAATACTCGTTCACAGGTATTTTAATTAATGTTGCCTATAAACATACCACGTGCGTCAATCATTTGAATTTAAACCTTACGCTAATTGACAGAAAGGTCACATCGCTCGCGTTCTTGACCTGCTCAATAGATAGTGTATGGTTAAAGACGCCTCATTTCAATTCCAGGTTTAAGATAAAGAGTATATTGAAGTCTCACATGAAGGTGCACGACGGGGATAAGCAGTACTTGTGCTATTTCTGTGGGTGGAGCTTTGCACAAGGTGAGAACCTCTCGTTTTAATAAATATTTCAATCTGTTTGGAAAAACCTCACGATTAATAATAATGAATCAATGTATTTTTTCAACCTTAAGCTATTTTGGGAAATATATAAAAAGGTACAAGGTCAATACAGGAGATTATTATTCTGCAACATGAATCAGAAATATTTTGCGTGATTTATAAAACGTGTACAGTGTCATAAATAAAATATACCCGCGACTTTGTCTGCATGTAGGTAGAACTTTTCCTTCCCATTATCTATAGTAATATATACTACTCCCAGGGTCTTTCTATCTAATCTATGTAGAAAATGTTATTGTGAAACGTACATCCAGAACTTTGAGGCGAGATTATGTTTATATTAGTTGCAGGAACGTAAAGCTTCAGATGCTCATAGCGAGCTTACATTTTCCTACTTCTTTACTGAAAATCGTTTCAAAGTAAGCCTAAGATAAACATACTATAATTTGTACAAGCTAAACTGAGCACCTTCTTCCTTTTTGAAGTCGGTTGAAAATGTCACAGCCCTGTCAAATTTAAGCCCTAAACTTTGTTTATCTTCTCTCTCAGCGGGCAACCTAGAAGTACACATGCGCAAGCACACAGGCGAGAAACCGTTCTGCTGTAACGAGTGCGGGTTCCGTGCCGCCGTCTCCTCGAACCTGCGCCGCCACCAGCGACAACACCAAGCCGCTAAGACATACGTCTGCAAACATTGTAATAAGGGGTTCTACGATGCCAGTGGTCTGGTGAGTACGAATATTTTAGGAACTATTTTTTGTCATTGAGATTTAAAATCTATTAAAGGTTTATTAATCTAGTAAATGTCAATATATTTTGTCAATGTGAAACGTTACTCTTGAATTTCGTCTACTGAACTAAAAACAATTATATGTTTATTTGTTTAAAAAACCGTTGTTGAATGTACAATATATTTTTACATTGTATGAGGCCGTGGCTCACTCCGGTCGAGTAATTTCAATAATGTTTAGAACAATAATTATAAACCCATTTTAAATTTTCTAGAAAATCTACATTTTTGACTTAGTTTTTAATTATCTGATCTTATTACTATTTGCAGACTCGTCATCTACGCACTCATACGGGAGAGCTTCCATACCAGTGTCCGGGCTGCGCACGCGCATTTGCCGACAGTTGGAAGCGCAAAACACATCTCATGCGCGCGCATAGACTCGCTCTCCCTGATATACCGCGAATGCGACGCGATGGACGCACTATTAATTAAATAAAACACCTCTTTATCATACGTAAAAATTATCCTTTAACCTAGTTAATTATCAATCAAAAATTATCGCTTTTGCCGAAAATTGCCGTTGTTAGATAAAAAAACCCATTTAGATATTTGCTGAATGGCATATACAAACTCGTCTTCACAGTGATTATTATAAGATACATATACACAAGGCCTAACAGTATTTTTGTGATAATAGAGACATTATTTATGTTCTACTTAGTTATAAATAAAAGTTACATAATATTATTTAATTTATACACTACAACATACCAAAAACTAGTATATAAGTGAGTAAAATGTACAACTAAATATAAATAAATACGCAATAAATATTAAAACATAGTTTAATTATTATATTAAATTCTATACAAGCCAACAGTCAACAATTATATAGGATTCACCTGAAATGAATAGCTACTGGAAGTACATACATACCTACAACACAAGTAGATGTATATGGGAAGAATATAATACCTAGATTTTTAAATTAAATACTAGATTGAAGCACCAAAACTACTAGTTCTAAATATTATTGTTGGGAAGGCATACGTACGGAAGAAGTAAGCACACGAGTTATGGCACCTGCATACCCTTATCTGATTCATTATACACAATCTCCAATGCCAAGAGACTGACCGCACAGCGAAAAATATTAATTCAATTGAAGAAATCATAGAATTCGTTAGAATCGTTTATATGAGTTGTTTTATGTGCAGCAATGCGAAATAAATGAGTTCCGCTATGCGGACTGTCTCTTATGGTCGAGCTTAAAATAACAACACACTTATTTCCACATTGATGGTTAGGTATATCAATTTACTATAACCCAACTAGCAAGGTCGGGCTGTAGTCAAATCATATTCATAATAATTATTATTTGTGTCTAATTATATATAATAATTATTATATGTGTAATGTCTTTTCCCGGCCAGAGGGCGGCAATAGGGTGAAACGGACTCTTACTGACTAAAGTTCAGTCCGTTTCTTCTACTGCGAGCCGGGGACGCAATACATTTTTTGTACAGTAGGTGCTTGCACCCGCAGCCCCAACTATGATAGGGTTTAATCTCGGAAGTTATATCGCTCTCAAATGCGTAATATTCATTGAATAAATTTAATACGGGTCTAATTCCGTTAAGACAATGTGGTCGGGTGCAAGTGTTTTATTTTATGGAGGCAAACGAGCTGTCAAATCACCCGATGGTAAGTAAAAAGCGCCACACATGTATACCCTCAACACCAGAGGAGTCACAAGTTCATTGCCGACCTTGGAATTGTCTTCCAAGGTCGGCAATGAACGTCGACACCAGAACGAGTTAAATTCATAAACAACCATTTAGTTGGGCAATTAAGTTGAAAACAGATGAAAAAGAGTTTTTGTTCTTTATACAACTAGAAATATCTTGTTCGTACTATTGTACTGTCTTAATAATGACGTACAGTTTTAAAGTTTGTAGGTATATTAAAGGATTAATTCTTGGCTATTGGGGTTAGCGAACAATCGAGAATGTGACAAGAGGACAACAACCTACATAAAATTGTGTGAAAGATTACAATAGTATTGAAGTTTCCTTTTTATATACATATATCATTGTTACAACAGTTCGGATATATTGGTTCTTTGTTTGAAAACATTTCTAGCAATATTCTAGTCGTATGGTGTATATCATATAATGTTCTTGTCAGTCCCTACACGTTCAAACTGATGGTTGCACCTTATTTACCATTATTATCAACAGACCACGCCTAAAGTGGTCCTCATTCCACCTCCTGACAGCGCCTTTAGGATCTCATGAATGAATCAACATTGATACAGTCATGGAAACTCCCGCAAGCCTAATCATGATTTTATTGAGTCATTTTTATCCCTTCAGTTTATACTTGAGCGTCATACAATATCTGGTAAAACATGCTAAACCTTATGAGTAGCAATATTGATTTTGATTACAGCCATATAAGTTTTCGTCATTTTTGTTCCATGATACCGATTATAATGTTCCTGTGTGTAGTACACTATTGAGCTTCACACGGTAATCTGCACATTCTGAACGATGTTGGACCACTCCACTTTGGAAGGCACGAGGTAGAACGCCGGCGCCACCTTCTGTCCGCACGGACACTTGCAACCTGCATAAATATAACAATCAATTACATACAATACAAATAGTATACACGTAACGGAAGTAATTTGAGTCACAAGAGAAAAACAATAAGTGCGCGAACTCCTGCGATCGCTTAGGGTTTGATAAATTAAGCTCTTAAAGTCCGCTGAAGCGGTTTTCGAGATCAGTGAGCTAGTTGGTAGCTAGGTAGGCTTTCTACATTATTACGTAAATATGGTTTTTTGCCTCTCACCAGGATTTTGCTCTGAATCGTTGGTGCGTTTACAAACATTCAATTTCACATACACATTACACTCAGATTCGGAGAACAACAGTTTGTGGGTAACACAAAGACTTGTTTCATTACGAAAAATATCATCCATGTCTTCCTAGGTGACATTCTCAATTCTAACGAGAAATAAACAAATGCAGCACGAGACTGACAGCAATGTAATTTTTTAGGCATGGACGATATAAATGAAATAAGCATGTAATACTTACCCATGATCCAGCTGAAAGAGCCAATCTTATTGAGACATTTGGGGCAGTGCAGCTTGCCCTGCGTGGCGTGCGTGACGTCCCGCATCCAGGCCATCGGCTCCACGAACCACATGAGCCGGCAGATCTCGGGCAGATCAGCGCGCGCCGCAATGTTCGAGTCCACCATGTTCATCTCGTTGTACCCGTCTAACGCTTGGCGTGGATCCTATGAAACATAGTTATTAGATGAATTTTTGTACTATTTTACAATAAATTTGAGGAGGTGTGCACGTTTTTATTTGGATTTACATGGCCAATTTTGGATTATACAGCAAGCAATCTTTGAAAAATATTTAGAAAATGATTTTAAGTCATCATTTTTGCTTCATTAAAGTCAGTATATCACGCATTTTTTGAGCCGCCTCAACCTCCTATAGTAGCCCAGGATCTATAGTGGACACAAACATGGAAACGCCGACGCGTTGAAGTCCGACACATCCCAGGGACATGGATAACTGTCACTCCGATTTATATCAAGACAAAAACAAATCAAAGAAGATATTATTTGAGGTGAAATATGCGGCATATGCATAGCGTGACGAATAGCAGCTGAGAAACGGGTAGTACCACGCGGGAGGTATACTATAAAGTCAATGTAGTCTACTATCGTATTAAACTGCATCCACGACACCCCATACCTGACTGGTTCCCTCCTCACTATCACTGGGCTGACTGTGGCTCTGGCTCTGCCCCGGACTGCTATCTTCGTACTGGTCATCGCACCGCATCTCCATGATCTGTGACGCGAGGCTCTTCAGCTTCTCCAGTAATATCTCCCCGTTCTCCGCGCATGTCAGGCCTGTTAACTTGCTCGGTGGAGGACGAATACCTATAATAGTATAATAATAGTGGTATTTAGTAATAGAAATTTAGCAAAGATAGTCTGCCGCCTGACCAGAACCAGACCCAAGCGTATCAAAGAGCCGATAAGGCCTACTATTGGCCGATGCCCAGCCTGAGTCGCGGGAGCAAATGACGTATCGCGGTCCAGCTCGTAGCAGGAAAATAGTGTGAAAAGGTCCCCGGCGGGGGAAGTTATGGGATGACTATCGAACCGTAAAAAAAACTATATAGTTTGCAATATGTGGTGCCTGCCAAAATTATAAAGGCAATGCCACACATAAAAGTACATTGTAAGAATAAATGTAGGATAGGGTAGTTTTTTCCAATTTACATTCTACAGTATTTATTCAGTAAGGTGCTAAATAAAAGAAAAGTTTTAATTTAACTAAAGTAGTGTTTATACTATTTCTATATGAAGTTATTTAATGTGCTTGTTACTTGTTGCTTTCATGCTTTGGGGCTCAAAAAACAAATTAAATATTATTATTACATTCATTTTATTTTTAGTTATTCATCAAGAAACATTGCGCAACAGCCAGTTGCACAACCACCACTGCGCAAACCGTGCAGGCTATACTAGGTAGATATATATATTTTATTAAACAGATGAATATTTTGAAATTAATAATTTTCTTACCTTTCTTAGCCAATTCCACCTTAACAGGTTTAGGTATATGTGGTATAATATTGCTCTGGTTGGCCACGATACGCCGACACTTCTTGCAGCGGTACACAATGGGGTCTGGTCGCTCCCTCACCAGCCCTGGATCCGGCTTCACCAGATCCGCAAACAACTGGGGCAAGATCTTCACTGGAAAGTTTACCGTAGATGAAATTGTGCAGAACTAGGATATTTTTAATGGCTTCACAAATTTTATCAAATTTCGCGACAGTACTCAAAGCTATCATTTTACAACTAATAATTAATTTAAATAATGAGTAATTTTGTGACTGTGTTAGTATCTACAAAGTACATTTCTCTTAAAAATTACTATAATGATAAATTGTTCAATGTTTTCAAAATATTCGTAGTAAACAAGTATACATACACGCCTATATACTGCCATATTACCAAATAAAAGCCCTGGCAACAATGTATCAGTCTCACTCCACATACAATACTCAAATGAACTACCACTAACTAAAAATTTTAAAAAAACCTTAGTAAAAATAAAAACTTTATACACAACTAGATATCGATTTACATTTTTTACCAAATAAAAAGATTAGAAAATTAATTAAAAGTATCAATAACTTATTTAAAAAAAAAGAGAAATTCGTTTTAAAGATACCATTACTTTTATCTGATACTCGACTTGAAGGTGGCTTAGGAAGACTTGGAAAACCTCCTTTATGTAAAATAAAAAAAATATAAAACTATATGTCATCAACATAGGCACCATACCATACTTTCAAAAAATAATAATAGTATATTTATATTTAAGTAACAGTATTTTGTAAATGAAAAAATATGAAACCCAAAGAGAAATAGTCATTAGCAATTACTCACCTTCTTTTAATTTCTGTCCAGCCAACTTTAATCGGAACTGTTTGAACCGTGGATCATCCCTGTTGATTGTGTAGCCCATGTGCCCAAATAACTTCAGTTGGGCCACAAAGCCCACATTTGGGCCCACAAACCTTCTTTTACTCTTCACTAGGGTAAATGCTTCTTCATAGCACAAGCCATACTTTTCCATGATGTAGCTTATTACTACAGCTGCTGACCGTGACACTCCAAAATGACTGAAATTGCAACATAACAATCAAATTATTTTATATTATACTAGCTACTCTTGCGCGGTTCCACTTGCTGCTCTGCTCCATTTGATTGTAGTGTGATGTTTTATAGCCTATAGAACTCAGGAACATTGCAGCTATCTATCAGTGAAAGAATTTTGGCAATCCCACCAGCAGTTCCAAAGATTACCCCCTACATACAAACTTACAAACATACAAATTTTACCTCTTTATAATATTAGTATAGACTAGTCCACTATAAGACGGCAACTTGGTTAGCAAAAAACACACAAGATGCTTGTTTTGATGTTGGTTAAATCTTTAGCACAATTAACTACATTTGCTTACAAATAGCCAAGATATTTTGAAATATATAATTATAATTTCTCTAGCAACATTTCGATTGAGAATCTACTTTATACCTAATTTTTTTGATTGACTGCTATTATGTTTTATAATATTCATTAATTGTAACAATAAAACATTTATATAATACTGACCAGTGCACCAGAACTGTTCCTCCATCTGCAATAGCTTGCTTGATGAAGTTGTTGGTCTCTGGCAGGTGACTTATTAGATCCTCCTTGGGCACATCAGCCACTGGAAATAAGTTTAAATGATTTATAATTTTATGAATTTTACCTTTAGTTATTAAAATACCTTTTAATAACTAAAGGTAGAAAGGCAATTATCAACAACATATTATTCATATTTCAATACATATTTTATTCTCACTTTTCACTACTTATATTTAAGGGAAATGAAGGTGATACTCCTTGCTTGGCAAATAATACACAAATACTTACATTTTACATAATGGAAGACAAGGTTGGCTTTCTCTAGTATTGACCGAGGAAGTGGCACCACATCTATGGTGAGTATGTGTGTTATCTGCAGCTGTTCCAATGATTTGTAATCCCTTGCACATGCCAAGTTTCCTGAAAGTCATAGAACACACATCTGTAGTAAAAATTTTATTTTCTATGATTTGCTCTGCTACAGATGTTGATGATGTTTTGCTTAGAAATAGATCATTCATATTAGTTTGTGTAGTATAGTGTAGTGAAGTACGGGTCATTGGGTATCCTTAGATGTGTGGTGTTTAGTAAAAGATGAAGGATTGGGGCGAGAAAAGGTATTTAGCCAACCTAAGTATAATCGTTCGTCGATGAGGTCAACGCTGATGCCGAAGGAATCATCCGGGTCAAAGTCATCATCTTCAGCATGGACCTCTACAGCTGCAATTTTGTGTCTAGCCATCTATTAATATTTATGCTGAAAAACATCAAATCATTGAGTAAACGCTTTTTTAATGATTTATAGCTCCGGTCTAATATAAATTTTGCTAGTCTGATATAATTTACGAGTAAAATCACTTAAATAACAGTCATAAACACTGAATACATACACACCTCAAGAAAATCAATACTTCAAAAATCAATATCCGTAGTCGCGCAAGGCTCAGTAACCTCCTTGATTCTGATAATAATGCAAAGATTTAGCAACTGAAACTATAATTACACTTATAAACAATACAATTTATGTGAGTAAACTTAATTGAATGAGATATAAAACGTGGGGCTCTAAAGAAATCGCCCGCGAATTTCTTATTTTGACATTTCATCTGACATTTGTGTATTTTCATTGGTATGCTACGTTTAGTTTTAACTCAATTTTTATAACTATATAATGATATTACACACAAAATCAAAAAATTTAAATAACAGCTAACTACCTTAGCTTAGGTGAACTAATTCAGTAAACCTCTACTAAGTTTAAGTCACAAGGAACCTCGTGCTCAAGAGTTCATGACCAGTGTGTGGGATGCAACGACGTCGCTTATAATTTATTTGTTTATTTTTTTTACGTTATAGGTAGGCAAACGGATTACGTGATGGTAGCCAATCAGCGCCGCCCATTAACAGTCGTAATACCAAAATAGTTAGGTACTACAGGTGCGTTGCCGGACTCTTGTGGATTATTAGCAATTTAAGGATAGGGGGTTTGATAAGGTGGCGGTGTGCACAGCTTGGGCTGAGCACCACCGTTTCCTCGAGGAAGTGATCAGACCTCTCGTGCCCGGCCTTAATCGAGGTCATGGTTCGTAGCGAGAGGAACTGGGAAGCCGTCTCCTCTTTCTGCGAAGCAGTGATGCACGCAAAGGAGGAGGCGGAACGCGTGAGGGAACTATCCTTCTCACGCCGCCGTAGGCGACATTCCGGGCGTCGGGGATCGAGAGATGATCTCGGGCCACGGTCTGCGGACGGCGAGTAAGGGTTGCTCTCCGCCCGACCAGAACCAGACCCGAACGAACGGCGCGTAGCGTTCCGCGCGCGCCTCAAAGAGCCAATAGACCACCACAGACGGGCCCTATATGGCTGATGATCAACCGGGGCTACGAGTTAAGCGCTATGGGACACCGCGGCGTCGGCCCAGAGCAGGAGAAGGAACGAGGTTTTTCAGTGAGTAAGAGTCTGTCACTCCCTCTCGAAACTCTCAAAACTGAGCGTTTGTATTTATCTAATTAGAAATTGTGGGCAAGTACCTAGCAATCTTTCCAGTACAAACTTATTTTTATTGTCAGGTTTATTGGACGCTTATTAATTTCGACCCCGAATAAGCCTACGTAAAACGTCTATCCCACATTTATTACCGTATCCAGTTAAATATATTTTTGACCTTTTAACTTCTCATTGTAATGATAATCAAATCTTGAAATTGTAATGTTAGGTAAGTACTATTACAGACTCATTGGATATTTTGAGAGAAGTCAAACAATGCTACTATCTCAGAGAAATATTGGTAAATAAAATCAGGCATTGTCAAATTAATTGACAAAAGTGTTATTAGTTCCTTCACACTTTCACTTCAGCCAAATGGCAAATACTATATAAATACCTGATACATAGCTGCTCTTCGCTAAAATTTCTCAATGTCAATAATTGCTCTAGACAATGTTATATCACATTTTAAGACAACTTGGACTTTGTACGTACATTGCTTAAGAGCTGGAGCTTGGGTCCAACAGTCCACTGGGTCATATTGTTAGCAATAGATTACAAAATACTTACTTATTGCTCAAGAACTGTTTTAGAAAGATAACTGACGTCAGAAAGAACGGACTTTGGACCCTCATTAAAAGAATTGTGTTACAAAAGACTAACGAACCGTCCCGTCTCCGAACGGGTACCTACAATTCTGCCAGAATGTTTCAGAAATATGTATAAACCACAGAATTTCTTATATCTATGGTATAAACCGTCCTGTTCAATCTCTCTAAGTATTCATCAAAATCCTTTGCGTAGTTTTAAAGATTTAAGCATAAATACCTACATACGGTAGGTTCAAGTTAGGACAAAGAAATCGACATTGTTTTAACCAAATACTAAGTACCTACTTATAAGACTTTTTAGTCATCAAGAAACCTAAAACTGCAACCCTTACCAGGGTCATAGTTTCGACATGTAGAATAAATTAAAGATAGTGACTTTAATTTCTAGTCACAGGTGATAAAGTTTTTGCATACATACTGCACAACATACTTAGTACTCAAGTGAAAATCCGGATGCTCCAATACAACCCCTTGGTAGATACTACAACGACTTTACACCAAGAAGTTTTAGACTATACATAGGTATAGGTACAGCAATTAGTATATTCACTTTATTGGTCACTCTACATATTATAAATGCGTTAGGGTAGGTCAGGGTAACACACTACCTGGTCAATCAAAGGCACTTTAGCTAGATATTTTTATTTTTTCACGTAACACAGTCTATGGTCAATCTGTATCTATACCTTTACTTTTGCATCCAAGACCGGGTAATTAGGTAAAATCGTTATTAATTAGTAACCAGTCTTCTAAACAGCCGATAGTTAACTTTATATTTATCATCGTCCAGCTATATCTATGTCAAACCATTGCAACACACAAACATAAATGTATCGAGGTGTCAAAACATTGACGAAGTCTGCATTTCCACTTTCATATGCGAACAGCCTTGGACTGTGAGCCACGTTACACGCCACCATATTATAATGTAATCATTTCTTGCAAAAGTAAAACGTACGATGTAAAATAATTAATATATGTAGATACAGCCATCTAATTATCTGCAGAGATGAATGTAGGATGAATGAATTTAGTAAAGTTTATCCGGGGATCTATGACCAATACAAATGCAACAAAAGAGGAAGCTCAAGTTTCTGTTTAAAATACTGAACGGTTTCATTTGTTTATATTTTAACAGTTAATTATCTTTTATTAAGGGCCACTAACTCCCCGAGCGAAATATTGTGAGGGAAGCAAAATCAAGTGTTAGTTTTTTGCTGATCGTATTGATATCGTTAGAGTTACTTCTCGACTACAAACCCTCAAAAAATCCATCTAAAAAAATGTCAACACAAAATATTCATATGCACAGAGCTTAGAGCACAGTTCCGAGGGTTTGAACCAGGAGAGGCAAGAAACTCCAACTTCAGACTTTGGCGCCCCCCAGAATTTGTTGTCTTGGGCCATCGCCCCATCACGCACCCTAAAGCGCCCGGCGTTAATCACATCAAAAAACACCTTAACTGGAATAAAAATATCAATTTTGAAATAAAATCTTCAAGTTATCGTCAAATGAAAAACATCTAGATTCTTGTAAAAGAAATTACTTAGGTAATCAGTATAGATTGTTGTAAAAGAAATTACTTAGTCAGTTTTCAATAGATAAGTACCTACGCAATTGTTGTCGTATTAATTCCTTATAGGTATACATCAAAGAGGATAAAATTTCTCTATGTTATACATACATATTTATAGGTAGGTGCGTTTCCAAAGGCCTAAAGCAAGAGAAGGATTGTCGTGGTTTTTAGTTGGTTAGTAAGAGTTACATACACTTGATAATAATAATAAAAAGTCATACAATCCACGAACCATCTTTGCAATTAAGTTACTTAACGTCTACAGTAAGTACTATGTTAAGATGTTCTAACGTCATCGTGCGTATCATTAATGATTTCGTATGTAATATACAAAATAATGATTATACTGATGACCCAGTTCCACGAAAAACTTATTGCAAACGAAAGCCATAATGTGTGAGTGGCGAATTCACACAACATTAAATATTTACTTGGAAGCAGTGATTCTGTATGCAACAGTACACTACATTGCATATCAGTAAGTAATTGATACTTTTTTTATTAAAAGCTTTCCCTTAAGAGTTAGACCATGAAGTCCATCATGCATAGCCCATATACCCTTATGTCGAGAAACAATTTGAATTTTTATTTAAATTTTAATGTATTAGTAATTTTCCTTAGTTTAATGTTTATGTTTACATACGGTGAGTGATGTGTACATCTGTTAAAGATATATATGTACATACAAGAACTCTGACTCAGTCATAAAATTAAGAAAATGTACCTTATGTACATTGTTGATGTACCTTTTTTTGGTGGACTAAAAACCATCCCGGTGTTCCTCCAATTACTCATGAGTCGGAGGGGCGGGTATCGCCGAAGCATTCGTTGCATCCCCCCGACGGGATTGTTGATGTACCTTATTGAATAAAAAAAAGTAAGAAACTTAGGATAGAGTACCTACTAATTATAGGCTGAACTCGTCGTTCAGCTGATGATGTAATGTCACTTGTCACCTAAAGTAAGGATGCATCTGATAACACCATTATGGACTCTGGACACTATTACTTTAATTCGCCTTAAAATTGCTGGATTTGCATATTTCGGATTATCCCTAACGTGGCGGACGCGTGTGATACCAAATACATTTTTTATGATGGTAAGCAATCTGCGCCACCCGTGGACACCCGCAACAATGGAGGTGATACGAGTGCGGACGTTCTCGGAATTAGGGACTGGGGGAGGGGAAAGGTTAAGCTCTCCGGTAACCACTAACGCGAAACACAACGCTGCGGTTGTTTCACACCGGTTTTCTGAGGCCGTGGTATCACTCCGGCGCATATATTTATATCGTGAACTATATTGTCAAGTTTGTCGATGTGTTGGTGTACCTGGAAAATAAAAAAATATGAATAAGGCGCTAAATTCACAGCTTTCTATGAAAAAAACAAGTCTATCAACAAACAACAACGGACCTCTTGATGCACTGTCTTGTTTTTCATACAAACATTTTGTATGTCACGGTTGCTACAATTTCTTCAATCAAGGTCGTTTAAAAATAATAAAAAAAAAACATGTGTTTAATACAACAATGTCCAATTACGGTGTACAATTAATACTTAAGGCTGTGTTCAGACAACGGGCTATTGCGACGGTGTTTCTTCACCGGTTATTGGGAGCGAATTACGTCACGTGGCTACGTAGTGTGCGCCCGCGCATGGCTCTTTCACTATAACGTAATACAAGGAAAATGTTCTGTGCTATATCGTACGGGGTAGCCTACATTTTGTGGATTAAATTATCGAGTATTAAGTGTTATTGGCTAAGATTGATTGGAAGGAAAAATCCTTCAAAAAGCGAATACTTATAATATGTCATGAAGTATTTTGGATTGCATAAAGGAAGAAATCGTTTGGCCATGCCTTTCACATCTTTCAAACTATAATCACACCAGCAAACTAATCCACTCGTATAAATTAATATCGCATTGCAG